ATTATACAGTATTTACAGTATAAATTTTTATAACATATAAAAATCAGATTTTTTTTAACTGAAATTTTGCTGGGAATGGGGCTTTAATATTTAATTGTAATAGGGTTTTTAAGTTTTGACTTCAAATTTTAAATAATTGTAAAAATAAATTATTGCACTTTTTTATATTTCATGTGAATTTAATTTTTTTTAAATTGAACTTTCCTCTTCATGCTGCAGATAATTAACTGTTCTAACTGCAGATTCATATTGACATGTTTTTTTTGTTTTGTTTTGTTTTGTAGAAAGACCCTTTGTTTAGAGTTTTAAAAATTCAAAGGGCATGTGAATTGGTGAGGAAATTAATTACACTAATTTTCAATTAAAGTTAATAATTTGTTTAAACGTCAGTGAATATTGTTTTGTACCACGCAACATATTTTTTCCCGACTTTAAATTCCATTTCAAATATTTTAATTTTAACTAAGTCCCAAGGTTTCTGAATTGCAAAACAGATGGCACATAATTTCCCTAATATTGAATCCCGGCGCGATGAACCTTTCGGTTTTTAATTAACTCAGTTGCTGGTTGAATTTTAATTGATCAATTGGAAGGGAAAGCCTGAAATTGTGGGGATCTTGGTTTGCTACTATTCCTAGTTGTATTTTCATTTTTTATGACGAATGTCAAAATATTCTTCTGGCAGCTAACAGTTACAAGAGCAAGTGGGTGACAGTGTGTGTTTATATTATAAAATCGGCCTCGAAATCAAATCAAACTTTATTCGTGCCATTCATAAAATACAATGGAAAAATCATCTACCTTGTACAAAACTTTGATTAAAAGAGTAATAAAAACATATAAAAAGTATTGCAGAATCGATGAAAAAAATTCCACAAAAGTTTGAGGTGATCCCAAATTATAGAGGGCAGCAATCATCTCTTTAATAAATATATTTCCATAGTAGATAAAAGATAAAGTAGTTAGCCTTTAGTTTTTTTTAACTACTTACCGCATGTCAATAATTGTTCCGTAATTACATTACCTATTGTCTTTCTGAAATCAATTCCTCTTTAAGAACTGGTCTTGTTTACTGTGCCAACATACGCTTTTGAAACGGGTAATTACAAATAAATATCAAAATTTTATGTAGGTGAAGCATGCATCTACACAAACACTGGGGAGCGAAAGAGAACTGAGAAAATAATGTGATTTTAGGTGATTCTTAACTACTTGCAAGTACTATGGCGGGGGGGGGGGGGGAACGAGTACTCTTTGGAGGGGCGTGCCCCCATACCCCGATACGCCACTGGTCACCAGTTCTACTGACCAATTTTGATTGGAATTTTGTTCCCCCTAGTGCCACGCCTTTATTAGAACCTAACCCCAAGACGTTACTGAGGTTGTAGTATTCTGACATCATGCTTTCTACCACCTTCCCTCAACATTAATTTGAATTGTGTACTCATTACATAAATTAATATTTAATAATAATTATAACCTGTAGTCTATAAATCAATCAATCATCAACCAATAATAATAATACTGTACTGTATTTATAGCACCTTGTGGATCACAGATCTCTCATTTAGGTTCTTTACATATATTTATTTATTATTATTATTAATTTTATTATTTATCAATTTTATTTTTATTTATTTTTTAACTTTTTTTTTTTTTTGCTTTAAAAAGCTTCGTGTTGGAAAGCTTTCCACCAATGGATGCAAATCAATAAAGTTATCGATCAATCAATAAATACAATGATATTGCACCCGATATTGTACGAAGTTTTTTGTACACAGAGCTATTATCTACAAGGCACCATTCGCACATACCGTAAAACCTCGAATTGAAGCCTGTCTCTTTTCGACACTGGCTTCTTTTCGATTCTACTTTTTAGTTAGGGTGAAAAACCAGTTTTTTTGGCCAAAGTGGCAAAAATTATTTACAAGGTTTTTTGAGTAGAAACTATCTAAGAGGGTTTCAAGAGCCACCAAAAAAAGTTGGAACAATTTTTCCCATGGGAAAAAGAGTTATGACCTTTTATATACAGGTCAATCTATTTTTAGTAACAAACACTGAATCAGTAGGGGTAGTCGGTTCTATCCCACATATGACCCAAAAAACAATTGCAAGAAAGCTTTTTTTCGGATGATTTCTGTAGCATAAGGTCTAGAAAATATGAATATGCATATTTTAGCCAAAAACTGCACAAACATCAAGTGATTTTTCCAAGATGGCCGCCAAAATAGCGCCAAAAATTTAAAATAGCCATAAATTAAGTTCGTTTTGTCTCGGAGTTTTTTTTTTCTTAACTGAAACCAATTCAAAATTCATCTGATAATGATTAAATAATCATTTTCAAAAATTGAATAATTCCAAAAGTTATCCGAAATGGCTGCTATATTCATTTTTCATATCCGTAACCCATTAATTAATAGTCCTATAGTGGTGATTGCAGTGTCTTACATTTTATGGGTCATAGCATTGATCAATATCATTATAATATGATTTAATAAGAGCTTAAGTAAAATATAAATAAATATCAAATTTGGAATGGTCTATATCTGTCTCTTATACACATCTAGATGTGTATAAGAGACAGCTATAAAGATTAACAAAGTAATTTTAA